ATTTCTTCTAGCGTGAACTCGTGAAAAGTGAAAATTTTCACACAAACTCGACGATTTCATTGGTTGAAATTTTTCACGTGAAAAATTCCATGATCGATATCCAGATGATGTTTTTACTTCGATTTTCGGCCGCCAGATGTGCGATGATAGAGGAGACAATTGTGTATTGAGTACACCAAAAAGGAATTCTTTTCGAACCCATTATGAACAGGAAAAGGACTTCCTTCAGAATACTTCAATTTGATCCTATAAGAAGTCGAAAGGTATACTTCTATGGAGTCCTTTTTGAACTACCGGAAAGAACTACATTTGAGTTCATTTGGAATAGATTAAAGTAATTCATAAAGAATTTAAAAAGTGAATTCTTTTTGAGTTCATATGGATCACCTGTGCTATCTGGGATATTATCTTGCAGGTGTAAGGTAATTGTGGACAATTATCGTTACAACAATCACATCTGATAGGGGAAGAGCTGATAATTATTTACATTGAAACATTATGTGTTCTAATCGCGAACGTTTTTTAAGGAAATTTGTAAGCAGAAAAGGGTTAAAGAAAGGTGGGGAGAAGGAGAGAAAGTGTAGATAGAGAGGATAGAAGAACATGAGCGGCGAAAGAAAAGAAATTATTTTGCGAGGCACTTTATTTAATTCTATTCATGCGTGGTTTTAATTTGATTAGAAATTTAATATAGCACGTTATAGCATAGACATATATTAGCGGGGTACAAATATATAGCGGCTTTAATTAATAAAATCCCTGTACATATTATTGTTGATATTTAAATCGATCAGTTTACCGTTGGGGATGGTCGGGAGTTTATTGCGCGCAGGTTTAATCTTGCGTAAATTAATATGTATTACTTCTTTAATTGACGTCTGTTCATCTTTTGATTTACCACGTCTTATTTTCCCGTAGAATTGGGTAAAGCTTCTGAGTTTGCGTGGAAAGATATTGAATTTGCTGACGTATTTATTCTGCAAAAATTATAATGCACAAGTTATGCACACATACACAATCATACTTACACTGAAATGAAAAGTTTCGCTACCATAGCTAATCGTGGTTTGCTTGAAATATTTTTCTGCCATAACTATAAATTTCTAAACCGCAGCAAACGGTCTGCTATCGCGTCTAATACAATAGGCGCAGTAGCGAAATATTTAGCTATCACAAATAAATATTAGCTGTCCATATTTTACAACTGAAATTTAGTTGCCACAAGCAGTTTTTAGCTACGGCAACTACATTTTTCCTTCCGTGTACACACGGGCACGCGCGCGGGTATATACGCACCATCTCTAATTGTATGTTGCCGTTTCTGACATTTCCCGGTAAATTAAAACATTCCAGCCGAGATTTCTCGATGAAAAGTGACGTTCCAGGTTTGTCGATCAACGGCAATATAAATCGGTATCTTTTGTGTCTGTCTCGGGGTTTTCACATGTGATAGTGTAGTCGGTCGTGCAAATACCCATTGGCGAGTTCTCTCTGACTATGTACTGCGATGTGTTGATTTTACTCCGATTAACAAGCACGTTAAACTGATTGGCGATTTTTCGGAAAATATCCACCGCTACTTCCGTGCTAGTCTGATCGACAATCAGGCCTTCCACACCGCTCCTGTCAAATTTGATCTCAAACATGTCTTCTGTTTGCACTCTTGGTGCCAAGCTTATCAAGCTATCGTTGATAAGTTTGGCATTTACGGACGTTACGTTGTTTAACTGACAGAATAGACGCTCCGGCAAGTTGGGGCGACAGCTCAGTGTGGCAAGTAATTGATATATAATTTTTGGTATCTCGGCTGTGATTCCATTTTAGAATATAAGAAATGTTGAGGTCGTACAAGTATTCCGCCCCAAAGTTCCAATCTGACGGATTCTTGACGACTACGTTGGCCGCTAAGTAAATATGACGGAAAATTTTATCAAATTTAGTGTTAATATCGCTAGAAAGATAGAACGTTTGAATAAGATTTGCTAAATCTCTAATATGTACGAGATACGTTTCCTCCCTGATTTCCTCCCGCCATCAGAATTTCATTTACCTAAACCTTTAAGAATTTTTCATTCCTCTCGTTGACAATAAAAATTTTGGAAAATGTTGCCACGCGATTTTACATTCGTGCAGACGAGTGCGACGTTAAATGGCAGGCACGTGCGGGATTCAGGCAGTTTACTTGTTCATGGCTTACCCTAGGAAGAACGGAATCAGGATGACGTACATCTCGCGACGATATGCCACACGTATGTTTGTACGTTGACACTACTCTTCTTACAGTCGCACGCTCCTTTGTATTAGAACTTGCTCATAATGTAATAGCTTAATGTTTTGCAGCACTCGCGTCTTTTCTCCGTACACCAGGATCCCGTGAATACGACTGTACGTGGCGCGTGCACGTTCGTATACTTATACGATGATAAAGCGATGTCATGACAATAGAGGTATAGGCGAGAAATTAGAAGACAGCCTTATTTTTAACGGTGACGGGCGGGACATCGCTCGTGATTATTATTGTAAGGCGGCGAGAGTGATTTTACTTTTCAGAGTCGTTCTCCCTAAAGTTAAATTAATAAACACGGGCAAATTCTGTTAAAAATTGACCAAGCTGGCATAAAAAGTGATATATATTTAAGCCACAACCTCTTCAAGTACAATCTAATGTTGACCGAAGAAATTAATTTTATGCCGAAACAGAATGAGTTCACGAGTCTGTGGCAGAAAATTCACTATGCCATATGTGTCTCCGTAGTCAGTGGATTTTTAATGGCGATGTCAATTTCTAAAATTTTCGAGAAGCAACCGTTAGTGGACCTCGAATAAAACCAGTTTTAATATCAATTTTAGAAATTGACGTTGCTGTTAAAAATCCACTGACTACAGAGACATATATGATATTATGAATTTGCTGTCACAGACTCATGAACGCATTCTGCATCGGCATAAAATTAATTTGTTCAGTCGATTAGATTGCACTTGAAAAGGACTCGATTAAGAGGTCGAAACATTGGGATTTATAAGATATACGTCACTTTTCATGCGAGTTTGGTCGATTTTTACAAGAACTTTCCCGTGTTAATTACCACTGGCAACAATAGGCCTCACTCAATTACTTAAATTATTAAAAATATTCCGCCTCTCCTCCATAACGGAGATCAACTGCTAGGCGACAGCAGCCGATAGGACCCGGTAGCGAAAATCCGAGCGACATAAGAGCGCCGGTTTGCGCTGTCAATCGTGGCAACGCGTGGCACGTGGAAACTCCAACAGCGTGCGCTCTCGTTTGCGTATGACTGTGGACACGTGCGCGTGGGAATGCACGTGTGATATTATGCAAAATAGATTCTATGGTATTTCATCAAGATTTGTCATTTATTAACTTTAATGTGATATTTTTTTGACAATACTATCTTGCAATAATAAGATAATTGTAGTCAGTTGTCGTGATAACAGTCACATTTGATAGGGACGGAACTGGTGATTAATTAAATCGAAACATGTTTTAAAATCGGAAACGTTTTCTTATAGAAATTTGTAAGTAGAAAAAAGTTATAGACAGGTGAGGAGAAGAAAAGATAGTGCAGATAGAGAGGAGAGAAAAAACGTGAGAGCAACGCGAAAGAAAAGAGTGTATTTTGAGGGACACTTTATTTAACGCTACTCATACGTGGTTTTAATTTGATCACATGTTTCATGCAGCAAATTGTAGCATTTCTACAACGTAATGTAATGTATGTACAAATAATACACGGTGAGTTTTATTTCGCGAACCAGTCTCTCATCATGAGAGACGGATTACCGGATCAAAAGTCTAGTCAACTCTGGAAAAAGTGGAAATACATCTCGTTAGGAACGTTTCAATCATGTAACAACTAATTGCATTTTGACAGATGTAATTAAATTTTGCGTGATTGAAACATGTACAATAAGATTTCTCCATTTTACCAGAGTTGGCTACAGTTTCGTTCGGTAATCCAGATCTCATGGTAAAAGACTGGTTCACGGAGTAACACTCGCCCTGTATATTGGCAGAAGGTATATATATATATAATTTATTTTTAATTATTTTTTGTATTTATTTTTTAACAATATTTAATTATTTTTAATTATTTAAATAATTGCTCTTATAACTTTCGATATCATTGTAGATATTTAAATTGATCAGTTTAGAGGACGAAAAAGTCGGAAGTTCATTTTGCGCAGGTTTAATGCCTTTTAAATTTATGTGTAAGATTTCTTTAAATGGCAACTCCGCGCTTTTCGGAAATTGATACACGTTCGTCCCCTCGAAGTCGGTGCGGCTTTCGAATTTGTTTGGACTGATTTTGTACTTGCTGACAAATCTCCTCTGCAAAAATTACAATGCACAAATTTTACACGCATACATAATTACACATAGACACAGGCACACGCTCGTGTACAACATACGTACCATCTTTGAGTGTACGACGCCTACGTTGACTTCGTTATCTCCCGGTAGATTAATACAATCTGACCGAGATTTCTCGATCAAAAGAGTCGTTCCAGGTTTGTCGTCGGCCAACTGTAATATCTCGAGCCGAAAATCGGTACCACCATTCTCGTGCGCGTCTGTCTCGGGTTCTTCGCGTGTGATGTTGTACTCGGTCGCGCAATTGCCGATTGATGAGTTCTCTTTGGCTGTAAAGTGCGGCTTGCCAATTTTATTCGGACGAACGAGCACGCTAAACTGATTGGCGATTCTTCGCTGTAGATTTACATATTTCATGTGATGCGGATCGTAAATCAGGCCTTCCACACCCTTCCTGTTAAATTTCATCTCAAACATATTCTCTGGCCGCGTCGTTCGCTTCTTGGTGCGATTTGTGACAAAATTCACTTCCGTTTCGTTTCTTAAACTGCAGAATAGATGGTCCGGCATTTTGGGGCGACAGTGTAGTGTATTCATTAAATAATAATTTTGGATATATCCGGTTTCCCCTTTGAGCAAATAAGAATAGATCAGGTCGTACACGTATTCCGGCCCAAGCGTCCAGTCTGACGTATCGTTGTCGACTACGTGGGCCGCTAAGTAAATGTGAAACAGATAATTTTATCAAGTTTAGTATTAATATCCCTAGAAGGATACAATTTTTATAAATGACATTTGCTAAATCTCTAATGTGTACTAGATACATTTCTTCTTTGATTTTCTCCCCTCGAAAGTTCATTTAACTTTTCCAATTCCTCTCATTATCAATAAAAGTTTCGGGAAATGTGTCTACGCGATTTTACGTTCGTGCAGCTGAGTGCGACGTTAAATGATAAGCACGCGCCCAGCGAACATGTTTAAAAGACATCTTTAAGACGTCTTTTAGACATAAGACGTCTAATAGTTCTCTTAATCATGTCTTTTAGACGTGCATGTTCTCTAGGTGGATTCAGGCGGTTTACTTGTCGATGGCTCACCTAGGAAGAACGGGATCAGGATGACGTTCATCTCGCAACAATATGCCTCAGGTATGTTTGCACGTTGGCACTACAGTCGCACGCTCCTCTGCATTAGAATTCTTGCTTAACGTTAAATGGTAAGCACGTGCCCAGAGAACAGGGGAGCAAAGACGTTTTTTAGACATGCAAGACATGCTTTAGACGGCTTCTCCGGGTGAATTCAAACTGTTTACTTGTCGATTGCTTACCTAGAAAGAACGGAATCAGGGTGACGTACATCTCGCAAGAGCAACCAAAGAGACCGAGCCAGCAACGACCCGACTTATATACAAATTTTTAGGGGTGGATCTTAGTCATGGGATGTGGAACGATTTTTGGGACTTTAGTTCTTCATTGGTGGGTTATTTTGGGGGGGGGGGGGGGAGGTCATGGAATTGTTTCTGACCACTAAGTCGTTGTCGCCTTCTTGTCGCGTTTGATATTTGTTTTTGGGTATCATTTCCTTTTCAGTGACTTTATCGTTAAGATTACGGGTTGTGAAGTTTGTATTTCGAAATTCCCGTCTGAAGGGCCTGATACCATCCTATCTGTTATTTTCCCTTTTTTATCTCTCAACGGCTATCGACTAGGGTAAGCGAACCTATTTCGGAACAGCACCTATTTCGGAACACTTTAATTTTGCTCCTGTTAGCTATCACGTAATGTCAAATTTTAATGCTGGTGATAAAGAGCATCGTAAATAAAGTTTGTGATGTGAAGAAATGAGCAGTACATACAGAAAATAATTGACAATAGTATATTTTTGTTATTGGTTGTCATGACAGGGCGCTTCTGAGCGGGATGAGTTACGGTAAGTACGGTAAGTACAATAATTTCATAGCTCTTATATTACTTGCTCGTTCTCTTATATTTTGGACTTAAACAACAGTTAAAGGTTCAAGGAAGATAATCGTTGCTTAATTGAATTATGAAACTATGTTGTTGCGAAATGCGGCTGTACATGAAAA